TGATTTACTGGTAGTCTCAAAACTCTACTCTAACACGAATACATGTAGAGTAAGGTTGAAGTAGCCAACCAAATCATGGGATGCCTCATTAAGATCGCGAAGTTAGGTATTTTAAAAGGCGACTAGGGTAGCAGCCGGCCATCTTTTCCTCTGGTTCATTTTATTTTTGCTCTATTTTGTAAAGTATGCATTCTTGCTCTGATGATGCCTGTCACAGTACAGATGAAAGCTTAGCACAGTTTCATCAGGTTCGCAGTACGGTGAGCCGAGGACTTTTTCGAACAATTCAACAGTCTTCCTCCACGTGACAATCCTCCTTCGGTTTCCGATAAGATCACATCACGAATTCTTTCAAACCAACGTTACCTTCGAAATGGAGAGTCATGTCACAAATGGTTTATGGACTGAACACTGCATGGGCTCAGCTACAATGTGCTTGTGCAAACTCCAGCAGAGCGAAGATAATTCAGTTTCGGTCTTTGTTAAAACCGACCAAAATAACCCTCGTCGCGTATTTTCAGACCAAATTGAAATGACCATTAGCTTTTTTATAATAATGGGGAGCTTTTTAGCAATTAAAGATTACCTTTTAATTTCCGTAGCAATTTCGATTGGTGTCTGCATTATTTTATCATATGCCACAATTGGACTCGCTCTTGAATAAAGGATGCACTCACCCTGGATTGTAAACGGTGATGAAGGATTGGTAAAGGCGTTTTCTTACAATTATATAAGTATTGTGGCTTATTGGTAACATGTCAAGGCTATTAGGATACCATTTCCGCTTGAGCAAGGCTAAAACGGAAGTCCATTCTGGATGAGAATACCTTTTAGGAAGCAAGGTCATGTCAAATTCAATGCAAACTTTAGGCCTAATTATGTCATTCTAGGAAAGTTCAACTATCCTTCCTTCATTACTTCATGCAACCTAGGGTTAATATAGCTCTTATTCAAGATCTTTTTATGGTTTCTAAATATACTTTATATGAATACAAGACTCCTTTACTCATTGCTCTTACATCTTCTTGCAGATTTGAGTCTATTTTGTCTCAAGACAACTATACCTCTATCACGCTGGAAGACGAGTCCCTGATGAAGAAACTGGGTCACCTCTATCCACCCTGCCAGATGGCTGATTACCTTCAACCCCCTATCATCTTTCCTCGTAATATACCCTACTCCTGGATGGTACCGCTTGTTTATTCGGCCGTGCGGGATTATATCGACCATTGCTATCGGTTCTCTGATCACATCTTCCTTGCTTGTACCGACCTGGAGGACAGTGTTACGAGGGCTACTAACGCACTGTTTTCCGACAGCCTCAGCGTTGCTTTGCTGCACGCTATCCGGAAGGCCGAGAGCAACCTGCTCCGACTTATCCAATTGTCGGTCAACGTTGACGAACTTGAATCGGCTTGCTTCCACCTAGAGGCCTACATTCAGGGGTTGGTCAACACTAAAGAGGATGTGATGACCCGTGCCAAAGAGGATGGCGGCAATATTGATGAGGTCAGGAAGATCATGTTTTCCATTTAAATTTTATATTGACAACGCTTACCACACTCAGTTCACTGATTCGCTTACTATGAGGATCTTGATCTTCTGAGAAAAAATAGAGAAACAACCACTTCCATTAAAAATTAGTGTTGCCACTTGGTGAATCATTTACTTTTATAAAAGCATTTGCTTCCACATCTTCACTATCTGATGCTAGATTCCCGGAATCTAAGCTAAATCGACGCACACTTGGCTTTCTACCTCAACAGTTATCCAACAAAAACGTTTTATCAGCACTTTTTGAATTAATTTTTATAATTTTGTTTTGTCCCTCCTATACTTAATTGCCGTCATTTCCCATTCATGCTATTTGCTACAAATTTGCCTATTTTTGCCTACAGCTAAACTAGTGAAACGAGCGGCTTAAAAGAAACATCAAATTAGGAAAGCAAAACAAGGGACTGTTAAATATTATTTCAGGGTTTTTCTTTAAGATATTACAACCCACAGCTGGGGTGAACAGATTTTTTGGTAGTGTATCTCTTTACCACTATTCCTATCCCCTACTCTCTTACTGCATACAAAAATGGGGGGAATGAGGATCTGATTGACTGGCATGAATAAGGCTATTTATCCTATCATAAGTAGGTTTTCGAGACTACCAGTGGATTTGATATTCACCATATTTCGTTTAAGGTAATGAGGGACTGGTAGTTGAATTTTCCCACAATTATATGAGTAGGCCTCGTGTTTCCATTGAATTTCACAAAGACTTGATTTCAAAAAGGTATTATCATCCAGCCTGGAGTGGACTGTAGTTTCAACCTCGCCTTGGCTTCATTAATACCTTTAGTGGGATTTGAACTCTGGTAGTGCAGTGTATAATCTCGACACGTTAAATACCACGAGGGCCCTTGAGTCACAGGGCAGTTGACCATCCCACCGCAGAATTGTGATATGGAAAAGACCTGGGCTTCCTTGAAATTTACTTCTGCCATGTGATCCAAAGACGTTCGTGATATTGTGGTGTTATGGAGGACGTGTAGGGATCATACACTACACCATCGCGGTTCAAGTCCCGCTGGGGGTGCTGAGGGGACCAAGATGAGATTAAGACTACAGTCCTTACCAGCCTGAATGAGAATACTTTTTGGGGAGCAGGGATATGTGAAATTCTGTGAAAACTTAAGGCCTACTCATATTATTGCGGGAAAATTCAACTGCCAGTCCTTAATCACCTTAAAAAAATAGGGTGAATACAGCTCTTATATAAGAAAATAGGTCAGTTTGTAGTACGAGTGAAATTCGGCTTAAAAAAGTGATTATATCTTTGTCACAATAGTGGCTTACAAGATTTCTGGAGGCAAAGTCTCAGTTTCAAATCTCATATGGTTCCATCATTCCTTTCCCCTTTGCAGATGAGAAAATATATCCGGAGAGTTGCTGAGTGCCAAATTCCATGTATGACCAATCCAATATCCTCTCTCCTTCCGTCTGGCTGGTACACTACCGACTGCGGTCTGTTCTCCACTGTCTTGGAATATCTTAGAAATGGATAAATGCGAAGAAATTTCTTATCCGAGTCGCTACAGTCTGTCTTACACAACTCCATCAGGTTGCATAATAATTTATCGGCCTAGTGCTTATTTCCTTCAAGTCGTCCAAGGCTTCTAGTGTAGCCCAGATCTCTTGTCTTCAGAAAGCTTGCTAAAAGTGCTTATCTGCTGGAGCCCATTCAGTTAATATAGCTTCCATTTGCTCGTATTTTCTTGCGTCTTTATCTGAATCGACGACGGCTGATGAACTTGAGTAATCCTATTATTAGCATACTCTTGAGACAGTTGCAACGAAGCCTCTCAAAAGTATATATTTGAGACATACTCAATGCCCACGTCCTAGCGCCTTCGAAAACTGGCCAAGATCATCTCTTATATGCAGATCTGGGTTTGAAGGCCTAGATTTTCTAGCACTATAAGTATTTGTGATAATATTTGGAACGTCGGATTTTTCCTGTTTTTTGCTGGGTTCCAGAGATACATAAAGCATTGGCTTCATGAGATGAGGCCTCAGTTTCTTTAGTTAATATGCCTTCTTTGCTTTGTTCAGTTTGTCAACCTGGTCTATAGGCCTTCAGTAAGCAGATAAACTTAATCAGTATGATCAAGGAACTAGTTATGCAGCTTTTGGCACGATACAAGACTTCCAGCTTCCTCGTGTTGTAAAGCTGATCATCATGTCTGTGCCGAAGTTTTATTCCTCATGAGGTGGAGTTGTTAAGGTTGTGAGATTGCTGCTTTGTAGCAGAGATACTATCATAGAATAACCCAGTTTTATGCCCAGAATTGATAGGCTTCTGCACCATAATAAAGTCTTCTGATCGGCCTTAAAACCATAGAGTAGTTGTAATAAGCATGACCAAGCATGAAAGTCTAGGTATTTGTCTTCTGAGACACTTATTCCGAATTTTATATGTGTGTGGGTTTAAAGGCTATCAATAATTATTTTCTAAGAAATTTGTGACGTTCTCTGCAAACTCAATTGTAAGTGCGTAGGAAAACAAGTCATCTACCAACTATGTCATCAGATATCTTATAACAAGCAGTAGTTGGGATTTCGAGTCGGAGAATGCAAGCTTCAAAAGTAGTTTTGCTCAAATTATCATAAAAAATTAACATACATCTACCTTCAGATTCCCTTTTACTCAACTTTTTATGCGAAATGACGGTCCCATTATCAAAGGACACAATTTTGTTACCCTCGCCCAATTTGTCATTTTACTCCTACTTAGAGTTAGGAGCATGATAAACAAAGGGATGACAACCGGGAAAAGTTACATCTCTGCCTAAAAATGTAAATATTTGACCTTTCCTAAGGATGGCATTTCTTACTGATGATGCTGGTGAAATATCTGGGAATGTGCCATATCTACGATCCGATGCTGAAAATTATCATGAATACTATTGCAGAAGATGAAAGGCTAGGTCCGTTCCACAAGGTCTCATTGTCGCTTCGACGAAGCTGCGAAGTCGAGGTCAAACCAACACTATTTTCCTATAGTTCATTCATTCAACCACAGCACGTGCTAATTATATGTTACGTTCATTTTCTCATATCAGGTTGTCAAAGGGGCCCCAACTACCTCAGGTGGGCTGCAACGGACTAGGCTACATGGACATGCCCTATTTAAGGATATCAGGGCCCAAGCAGAGTCTCAGATTTACGCTAATATCAATGCACGTGTAGATGAGTTCCTTGGGTTGGCTTCCTACGAGGGCATCCTACTTACGACCTCTACTGGTGGCATGACGGATTCGGCTGGGGACCAGACTGCGACCATCTTGGAGACAGCAACACTTGGGGGACCAGCCGCTGCTGGCTCTAGAGCTAGAGCTGGAAACCCACTCAAGCCAGTTGTGCCAAGCGAGTATATTGTCGACATGATGGCCTGGCTGGCCACCACTTTTCGAGCATTCACCAACCTTCCAGTTAAGGTGGCACAGACGGCCTGTCTGACTGCTTGCAAACACATCGCAAGCTCGCTTCAAAACCAGATTCTGGGGCCAAACGTAAGCGCCCACTTTTAATTACTTATATAGTTCCTTAACTATATGAATAGTCTCTGCCTCCTTATGTGTTATCTAGCTTTCTCAGATGCAAGCCCTAATTCTGATCGTAAAATAATTCAGTTGCTAATGTTATCTACGAGGAAATTAACTACTAAATACCAGGATTTTCTTTCATCGTTGTATCCTCATCCCTTTACACTTTTTAAGCTGTCCTTGCTATTCCCTTCCCTACCGCCCACACCCTGCCACCTCAGGTTAAAGCAGTTTCTGAATCAGCCCTACGGCAGATCAGCAGTGATCTGGCTGAATGTGAATCTTTTGCTCGATCCAAACCAGTTCCGGATGTGGACACGAGCATGCTGATACTTATTTTTGCCGACCTTCGTATGCTAATTGACCTGGTGCTCCTAGATGACTGGGCCGTCTTCCTTACTGGATACTCTAACTCCAGAGGTTTGAATAACTCTACTTTGGGGCCTTGTTAATAACTTTTGTTATTGGCCATTCTCTCGTTATCTCTTTTTCTCATCGTCATTTTTTTCAATTACGCGATCATAGGGTCCATGCGCTGGCTTTTACGGCTTGTTGCTGGGGCTAGCTATTTTCGTCGGCTATTAGGCAGCGCTGTCAGTGTTAAACCTTATTAATTATTAATTTTTTCAGATCTAGTCATATAAGATTTGCCGTTGGAAGTTACCTTATAAATGTCTAACTTTTATGATCTTCAACTCTCGATGTATCTGTTGCCAGACCCTTTCCTCTTAGTTCTTGCCTCAAATCGTCTCGTTTATTTTGTCAATCGCACAAAAGCTTCTGCATGCGTTGAATTATTTGTCTCCATAAATTATTATCTTTAAGAGCCACGATACTCTCCTTTCTTGTATTTTAATATCACACTTCACAAGTTTTTTTCATGTACTTTGAGCCTATACTATTTTTACCCTCTATTCATGAAGTTTTCTTTTAGAACACTCCCTCATCATCTTTATTCTTTAGCTATAATCCATTCAAATATTCTATTTTCATGCCATCTAGGTTGCATAAGTTATTTAGGAGTGATTATGGAGTTTCCTCTCCTATGATATAACTAAGCCTAACGATCTTGTGAATTTAATCTTAATTTTGCCTCCCTAAAATTTTTACTATCCATCATGGAGTGCAGCTTCGACCTCGCCTAGTCAACCCTCTTCACAAATGACATATAGTGGGACTGTCGATGATTATATCTAGGTGAAGTTATAACAGCACTATACTGAACAATAAAACACTTGAGAGAAAAATCTAAGCAAAATTCACTTCCGTCGTGGAGCCTACTCATTATTTTTAGAATAACTTTCCCTTAATCCTTAAATCACCTTATTTGATATAGGATGATTATTTTTCGCTTAAGAAACACTGATTGCCAAAAATTAGACTCACTTCAAATTTTCGTTGTTTCTTGTTTCGCTTCGGTTATGCTGCATTCAGAATCCATTGAAGCCTGTCTCTTTCTAAGCGTCATATCAGAATCCTGGACATCTCAGGACAAATTAACCATCACCACTCGTTGAGAAAATGTCAATAGAACCTACCGATCTGTAAGGTCCAAGTTGGTTGCGTTATAGCTAACCCTCGGCCACATTGCCACGAGTGGTTAACGTTTCAAGCTCACATTCT